TTCAGCCTTAACAAATAATAAAGTTCTGATACATACTACAACATGGGTGAAACTTGGGGACTATTTAAAAAATATATATGTATTTTATTGATATTTTACAGAGAGGAAGAGAGAAAGGATAGAGAGCTAGAAACATCGATGAGAGAGAAACATCGATCAGCTGCCCCCTGCACACCCCCCACTGGGGTCGTGCCCACAACCAAGGTACAAACCCTTGACTGGAATCAAACCTCGGACCTTTCAGTCCGCAGGCAGATGCTCTATCCACTGAGCCAAACTGCTTTCGGCTATTTTTTTTATTAATATGTTTTTATTGATATTAGAGAGAGAGGAAGGAAGAGGAAGAGAGAGAGAAAAACATGTAAGTGAAAGAGAAATGTTGATTGGTTGCCTCCTATATGTGTTCCAATAGGGAATTGAACCCACAACCTGGGTATGTACCCGGACCAGAAATCGAACCCATAACCCTTTGGTACATGGGACAACACTCCAATCAACTGGGCCATACCAGCCAGGGCAAAATAAACCAATTTGTCATATGGTTCCATTTAATGAGGTCCCTAGAGTCATCAAATTCATAGAGACAGAAAGTAGAATGGTGGTTGTTGCCAGGGGCTGGGAAGTTAAGAATGAGGAGTTAGTTTTATGGATACAGGTCAATTTGGGGTAATGAAAAAGTTCTGGAGATGGATGGTGGTCATACTTAATGTTACTGAACTGTACATGTAAAATGGTTAAAGTGGTAAATTTCATTATATATCTATATATCTATATATCTATATAGATATATTTATATATCTATATATTTATATATCTATATATCTCTATCTCTATCTCTATCTCTATCTCTATCTCTATCTCTATATCTCTATATATATATATATCTATATATCTATCTATATTTATCTATCTATCTATCCTATCTAATAAAAGAGTAGTATGCAAATTGATTGTCACACCAACACACAAGATGTGGTCAAAGATGGCTGCCCCCATGTGGACACAAGATGGCTGCCACAAGATGGCAGCAGGGGAGGGCAGTTGGGAGGGACCAGGACTGCAAGGGAGGGCAGTTAGAGGTTACCGGGCCGGCAGAGGAGGGAAGTTGGGGGCGATTGGACCTGCAGGGAAGGGCATTTGGAGGGGGACCCAGCCTGCAGGGGAGAGCAGTTGCGGGGGACCAGGCCTGCAGGTAAGGGTAGTTAGGGGTAACCAGGCCTGCAGGGGAGGGCAGTTAGGGGCAATCAGGCTGGCAGGGGAACAGTTAAGCATCCATCAGGCTGGGAAGGGAGTGGTTTGGGGGTGATCAGACTGTCAGGCAGAAGCGGTTAGGGGCAATCAGGAAGGCAGGCAGGTGAGCAGTTGGGAGCCAGCAGTCCTGGATTGTGAGAGGGATCCCAGATTGAAGAGGGTTCAGGCTGGGCTGAGGGTCACCCCTCCCCCCCCGCCCGTGCATGAATTTTGTGCACTGGACCTCTACTATATATATATATATATATATATATATATATATATATATATATATATATATATATATAATCTCCACAGTTAACAAAAGGGAAATCACTAGCTTAGCAAACATAGTAGCTGATTCTTGTGGCGAACCCTTCCTGAAATACCTTGCCTACCCATCTACTTTGTAGTAGGTCTCTTCCCAGGAGGTGACTATGTTCCTACTAACCTTGTGCCTATGTGTGCAGGTGCTGAGCCTACCACCTCTGAGTTCACGGTCATCATGCATGGGCCTAAGCTAAAAACCATCGAGGGTATTGTCATGGCAGCTGACAGTACCCGGTCCTTCTCACCCCTCGAGAAGTTTGGCCAGAATTTCCTGGAAAAGCTGATTGGCATCGAGGTTCCCCACAAACTTCTAGAGCGTGTCACTTTTGTGGACACACCAGGCATCATTGAGAACCGCAAACAGCAAGAAAGAGGTAATTTAGCAGTCACTTCTGACACAGGGTGAGCTTTTGACAGTGGGTGGTAGGCAGGCAGGGGAGAGGAAATGTGGCCAGCATTGCCCATCACCAGGGGATGTGTTCTCTGCTTCCATCCCCTACTTGTTTGTACTGTGGTGCCACTTAGGTTTGGAGTATCTTGTCCTTTTACCTCCCCAAGGACTGATCTGGTTTGGAGGTGATCGTTATTTTCCCAAGAGGAAGCTGATCTTCTCTGTAAGTAGCTCCTCAAGGTCCACACTGGGGCTGAGCTGCTTTAGGAGGCCCAAGCTGTCCTGACTGATCAAGGACCTGGATTAATTGGATCTCATTCCAGGTGTACTTGACCTCTGGCTAACCTGGGGCTGGGTTGAACCTGACCTTTAATTCTTCCTGCTTTACCAGGCCTGCTTCAACATAAGCCTGTATCAAAAGCCCTACTTACGTTCAAGTGACAGGGGAGTGCCACTTTGGGCCCAGCAGGCACTAGGCTGTAGATAGGCCACCGAGTATCGTCATGACTCAGGGTTATCTGCAGAGATGAGTCATAACAGGCATTTGTAGAATATATGACTAGATGATAGATCTCAGTTTATGGCTCTCACTTCTATTTTGCTTATAACCGGACCCTGTTTTATGACTAGTAATAATATCACTAATATTAACCTTTATTTTATCCTAGTATATATTAGGTAATTTTATGCATTATTGGCTGATTGTTGTAAAACAATGTCAAGACATATTCCTAGCCTCCTCATTTTGAAAATAAGAAGTTGAAGGAATGAAAAGATATTAAGCACCTACCTTGTGACTGGAAGTTTAAGTTAGGTGCTTTCCTATATTTGTAGCAACATAGTACTCATGAGAGTAGCCTAGGCTTCATAGTTCTTGTCATTTTCTAGCTGAAATGCTAAAACTTGGGAACATTTAATATTCAGCTGGCCAGTGACAAAGCCCTAATTCTAGCCTTGGCCTATGCCAGATTTGCATTTCTTCCATAAATGATGGATCCTCACTCTTCTTTTTAATTTGTATTAATTAAACCTTTTTTTTTTTTTTTTACAATTACAGTTGATATATAATATTATGTTAATTTCAGGTGTAGAACATAGTGACTAGACATTTATATAACTTAAGAAGTGATCACCTCAAAAAGTCTAGTATTGTAGATCCTTTCTTTCACATCCTTCTAATTCCCTCACTTTTTCCCTTCAACATCTTCGCCACTGCCCCAGATCTTTTTAGGCAGCAGGAAAATCTCCATTTCAAAAAAAGCATTTTGCTTCCCTGGAACCTTGGATTCCACTTAGACTAAAGCAAGGATCAGGCTGTTCTTGGCTGACAGTTGAAAAGGGGCAGGAGACACACAATTAATTCTTAAAAGCCTTCAGAAGGCCAGAAAATCCTTAATGCTGTTATTTCCTTCAACCTGTGGAACCAATAGTTTGGTTCTGGCAAGAGGCACAAGGGGCTTGGGCTAATGCTTGCTCAGCCTGACTTCTCACTCCCTCTCCCAAAGGTTACCCCTTCAACGATGTGTGCCAATGGTTCATTGACAGAGCTGACCTTATCTTTGTCGTCTTTGACCCAACCAAGCTGGATGTGGGTCTGGAACTGGAGACACTGTTCCGCCAGCTGAAGGGGCGTGAATCGCAGATAAGGATCATCCTGAACAAGGCCGACAACCTGGCTACTCAGATGCTCATGCGTGTCTATGGGGCTCTCTTCTGGAGCTTGGCCCCGCTCATCAACGTCACTGAGCCCCCAAGGGTCTATGTCAGCTCCTTCTGGCCACAGGACTACAAGCCCGACACTCACCGGGACCTGTTTCTCAAGGAAGAGATCTCCCTCCTGGAAGACCTGAACCAGGTGATCGAGAACAGATTGGAGAACAAGATAGCCTTCATCCGCCAGCATGCCATCCGGGTTCGCATCCATGCCCTCTTGGTGGACCGCTATCTGCAGACGTACAAGGACAAAATGACCTTCTTCAGCGACGGAGAGCTGGTCTTTAAGGACATTGTGGAAGATCCCGATAAATTCTACATCTTCAAGACCATCCTGGCCAAGACCAACGTCAGCAAATTTGACCTTCCCAACCGAGAGGCCTACAAGGACTTCTTTGGGATCAACCCCATTTCCAGCTTCAAGCTCCTGTCCCAGCAGTGCTCCTACATGGGGGGCTGCTTTCTGGAGAAGATTGAGCGGGCCATCACCCACGAGCTCCCCGGCCTCCTGGGAAGCCTGGGGCTGGGGAAGAATCCAGGTGCTCTCAACTGTGACAAAACAGGGTGTGGGGAAACCCCAAAGAATCGCTATAAGAAACACTAGGTTGTTGTGTGGCCATTCTCGGGTTCCTGTTGGTGAATGAGCTTGTGTTCTAAACTGTCTGAGAAGTCCTGGTTTATTAGCCCTTTGAGCCACACTGGCAAGAATCATCACACATTGGAGATTTGGGAGTTAATTGAGGCCAGTGGTGGGGGAAGGTATGGGTTGAGGGAGGAGAGTGGAAACTGTGAATTATAGTTTGCTTGTCTCATTGCTTCAATTAGGAGGCCTGATTGAGGCAAGTCAGGCCATACCTGCTTTTCCTGGGTCCTATCTTGAAGGGACAGAGAGCAGCTAAATTCTAGGGTATACTGAGTTGATGAGCATTAAACAAGCTAAAAGCAGCTGAAGTTCCTTTCCCCCCTTTAAGCTGGGAAAAGAGAAGACTTGAGTCGGTAGGACTGTCCTGGTCCTTTGTGGCTGCCTTCCACACAGTCTTTGGTGTCTCCCCCTCCTCCTCCCCTCAGTGCTCAGCTGTCTCTTAAACTTTGGTTGACTTCAATAGTGGATAATCTCTAGGGCCTGAATCAATCTGGGTTTTGAGCCTTCCCCAGGCTCTCTTCCCTGTCTCCTCCAGGCTTGGGAGGGGTGGTTTAGGATACCTGAACACTAAGAGAGAGTTCCCAGGCTAAGAGAAGGGTCTGCCTCCCCCATGCCATTTCTCTGACGTGGTGTTCTAAGCCAGCTGGGAAGCTGAGTCCCTTTATTTGCCCCCAAGAGAAGGGTCAGCGTTCCATGCATTCAGGTAATTCCCTGGAAGTGACTTCAGTGAAAGGACAGCTCAGAGGGTTAATTGGTTTGCAGTGTGTCTTTGTTTATTGCATGTCTTGGAAAACTTGGATCCCAAAGTCTTTGGGTTTCAGAGGGGACAGTGGAGACCTTGCTCCTTTTCCTTGGGGACTCCTCTGGGCAGTCCGCCTCTTCCAAATGGAAGAGGAGGCTGTTTCCACAACTTCTCTGTGGAGACACTCCGCAGAAGAGTCGCTCCTTCCTGATTTTCATCACCATGGCTTTCCCTTTCCCTTCTTCTCATTCCCTGATGTGCTAACACTCAAAACTCACAGGAGTCAGAACCAGCACCAGCCATCAATGTCAGTGGCAACGAAGGCTTAACCTTCCGTTTTCCACCTGAACTTGATGCTGATTCCCACTGGACGTACCGCAGGAAAGCCCGGGCCTTCAGATACCAATAAGTGTGGATATGTGTGCATTATGTTGTCCAAGAGAGATTAGGGAGATAACAGATGCCAGAGAGCATAGCGAAAGAACTTGTGAGAGTTCTGCCTGGCCGGTGTGCCACCCAGAAGGGCAGTGAGGGACTGAGGATGGAGGAAGGACCCTGCCTGGAGGGGAGGAGCCGTTTGACAAAAAGGTGGGTAAGTGAACAGTCTGTGCAAAGCCTGGAGAGTGGGCCCCAGGCTGTCCTGCCTCTCTCGGGAGCTTTACCAGGAGGCCTGGGTCAGGACCTGTCAGCACCAGGAAGTCATCCTGGTGCAGAAGGAAAGTGAAGATGAAGGCAGAGGGAGCGGCACTGAGGATAGGCAGGGGAAGAAAATTGGCAATCAGATTAGGGCCATGCGGAGAACTGCAACTTCGGAATTCCTGTTTCTCAGAATTAGCGGCTGCAACAGAGGCTGCTGCTTCCTTTGGCTTCGTGGAGGACCTGGAACCTCCCACAAGAAAGCCAGAGGCCCCACAGCCTTAGGACATTGTTCCTAAGGACAGAGCCAACCAAGAAGAAAACGATCTGCTGGGGGTGTCCAAGGAGCCAGTGGCAGGGCCTGATGCGCTGCTTTCCTTCTCACCAAGAACCAACCCTTGCCTCACCTCTCTGTCCTTTATCCTATCAGCCTGCCCTCCCACCTTGCTCCTTAATGCCCCTTAATGCACTGGAGCTCCTCTTGGCATATGTGTGTTTCTCAGTGCAGTAAGGGAAATAAAATATGCAGGATTGTATGGGCATTGTCATAGCTACTATCACCATTGCTTCAGGGGAAGAAGGTGGAATGAGGCTAATACATTCATACAATATTTATATTTTCAGGGCGGTGACATCGTCAGTGTGATCCCCGCCCCCTTTTTTTTCTCCATCCATCTCTCTTTTCTTATTCCTAATCCTGTGCTCACTCCTTGACTTACCTTTTCTCTAACTGCCCGCAGGCTTGTCCATCAGTCAGCTTGGACGTTAAGAGCTATTTTGTGCCTCACTCTGTGGAGGTGGATTTTAAGCAGAATTCTGACTTTTATGGGGGGTAAGGGGGTGGGTTGAAAGCTGGGGGGAATTTAGGATCCAGAGATCCCTCAAGAGGAGTATTTGTGAGTATTTGTGCCTGAACTGTAGCTGTTTCTCTCCAAAGTGGAACCTTTCCAGTGTTCTTTCCATTCTGATTTCATCAGGTAGAAAGTCTCAATAAAGTTCCAATCTCTCTTTAACACATTGTACTTTGATTGTATCCAACCAGTTCAACCTCTTTATCTTCCTTTAAATCTAGTAGAGTATACTAATTTTTATTAAGACTGTTTTTTAGAGTTTTAGGTTCACAGCAAAATTGAAGAGTAAGGAAGGAGATTTCCTATATACTCCTCCCCCCAACACGAATCCCTTCCTTCATGATCAACACCCCCAAAGAGTAATGAATTTTGTTACAATTGATGGACCTACATTGACCTGTCATAGGCACCCAAAGTTTGTAGTTTACATTGGGGTTCACTCTTTTTTTTTTTTTTTTTAAATATATTTTATTGATTTTCACAGAGAAGAAGAGAGAGGGATAGAGAGTTAGAAACATCGACGAGAGAGAATCATCGATCAGCCACCTCCTGCACCCCCCCCCCCCCCCCCAGGGATGTGCCCACAACCAAGGTACATGCCCTTGCCTGGAATCAAACCCGGAACCCTTCAGTCCGCAGGGTGACGCTCTATCCACTGAGCCAAACCGGTCCTGGCTGCGGTTCACTCTTGGTGTTGTACATTCTGTGGGTTTGAACAAATATATAATGGCATGTACCCACCATGATAGTGTCATACAGAATAGTTTCACATGTGCTCCACCTATTCATTCCTCCTGTCTGCTCTCATTCCCATGTACCAATTTTTAAGTTTCTTGGGGATAGATTGAAAACTTATTATTGCATCTCCTTACCCCTCCCTGTCTTCTTTCCAAGCTTCCTTCTCCTAGCCTCCCAGTGTCAAGATGACCTGTTCCCTCAGTTGGCTATGAAACTAAGGCCTGCTGTAGTATAACGGTAGACTTGAAGAAACACTTCCCTGAAATTGTCCTTCTGCCTGCTTCTGTGGCAGTAGCCCATTCATAGGAGCTATTGAAATCTACCTCAGTCTCTCTCAGAGGCATTTGAGCCACGCCCTCAGCCACACAGCTGCCCACTTGGTGCCTGAAGGCTCTGGTGGAGGAGCCCAAAGGTCTGCCCTGAATGTAAGGAAGGCATCTCCCATGGCTTTTACAGGAAGTGGTGCCCCCATAGCATACATAGCCTGGGCCTCCAGTCTATTCTTGTCTTTAAAGAAACCTGAACCTGTCCATGTCTCCCCAATCCTGTGCCCTTCAGAGCAAAAGTTCCCCTCTCCCCCCCACCCCAACACACTTGAGAGCAGGTTTCTTTATATATTTTTATTGATTTCAGAGAGGAAGAGAGATGGGGATAGTGACAGAAACATCAATGATGAGAGATGTTGATCAGCTGCCTCCTTCATGCCCCTCATCAGGGATCAAACCATGACCTCCTGGTTCATAGGTTGATGCTCAACCAGCCAGACATACTGGCCAGGTGAGAGCATGTTTCTTAAAGGACAAGAATGGGGTCCTCGGAGTTGGTGGGAGGTTGGACTGCCAGGCCAGGGAAGATGTGGGATTCAGCAGCTTGGCCACCTGCTCTGGGTTTTCCTGTCAGAAGGGGCTGATCTCAGGGCAATGCAGTTCATTTCCTCCCTCTCCCTTACTCTCCTCTTGATTCGGGTCCACAGTCTGAGCAACCGAGCAAGCTGACCTAAGACCACTGCTGCCTACCCACCCCTGCCCCGGGCCACTTCTCGCACCCATGATTGCAACCAGCATTTCCCCAAGACTGGGAGAAATAAGGAGCTTTTCCCTGGAAAAGGGAAGGTAGGTGAGATCTGTTTTGAAGGTAAAAGTAACATGCCAGGAACGGCTGGAGTGATCAAAACTGGACTATTTCACAAGCCTCACACCTTACCACCTTTAGGTTAAATCTGCCATTAAGACGATAGGTAAGTAAACACAAAATGGAGGAAGCAAAATCAAAGACCATTCTAAACATAGGCCAGTGATGTGAGGGGCTGAATGGAGAGTGTTTTTACAGGTATGTGTATGTACCCTTTGCATATATGGGGGTTGCATGTGGTTATATGTATAAGGGGCGTGCAGGTACCTTCATGTAATGTCTGTGTGTGGACAAACAGACGTGTATGTGAGTTTTTGTGGCCAAACTATGCCCCAATACCTAGCACAGTGCCTGGCATGTAAGATACATCACATATGTGGAATGAAAGAAAGAATAAGTGTTTTTTTTTGGGGGGAGGGGGTAAAGATGGGGTCTGTGCATTGCATCTTGTGTGGAGAGGGTCCAGAGGAACCGGTATGTCTGGGGTGGTGGGTGGGCATAGCTGAGAAGAAGTAATTGTACGAACGATGTGGGAACAGATTAGGGGAACATGTGTGAGTGGAGTGAACCCAAAGCCCAACCCAGTGTGGAGACCCAGGAAAATTTTAGCCATAAAGGACATTCTGCCAGACCCTGGGCTTTGCAGGAGTTGGATTCTACTCCTGGCAACTGGTGAAAGTTAGAGCCTTCAGAAACTCACAAGTCCTGGCAACATTTCAAGCCAATTCCATGTTCCTCAGCACTAGGCTGAGGCTTTTCCCAATCAAGGGAAACCTTTTCTTTAGAAGTGGAGAACTTTTTTTTTTTTTTTCTGCCCAAGGCCATTTGTATATTTATAACATCATTTTCAGGCCATACAAAATTATCCACTTAAAAATTAGCCTGCGACATTTGGTCAATTAATTCACCCCTAATGCGTTGGCAGGGCCAGACCAAATGATTTCACAGGCCTTGGCCCTCGGGCTAGATGTTCCCAACCCTTGCTTAAGAAGAACAGAGAGACAATAAAAAAAGAAGTATAAGAAAAAAAGTAAATGAGAGTAGAGACACAAATATGCCTGTAGCCAAGGTGTATTCAACAGATTCTTGGGAATTCCCTGTACCCACATCTCTTCCTAAGGATAAAATAACATGCACAAATGAGTATTTTTTAAACAGTATTTTTTTTTAAAATTGGTTTCAGAGAGGATGGAAGAGGGAAAGATAGAAACATCCATGATGAGAGAGAATCATGGATCAGCTGCCTCCTGCAAATCTCCCACTGGGGATCAAGCCCACAACCCGGGCATGTGCCCTTGACTGGAATCGAACTTGGGACCTTTCAGTTGGCAAGCTGATGCTCTATCCACTGAGCCAAACCGGCTAGGGCCAAATGAGCATTTTTAAATGTCTGCCTGCACTGTGGAACATGTTCTCTGTTTTCACATAATGTCAATGGGGAAGGGAATCAGTTTCTAGAGTATTTCTCTGTGCCAGGAACTGGGCTGTAGGTGTAGAGACATTATCACACTTATACCTTAAGATAATGGGATACTTTTAATAGTTGTGCCCCAGGCCACAAGCTGAGTGCTTTATGTGTATTATTTTATTCAGTCCTTCAAGAACCCCACGGAAGAGGCCATCCAGTTCAGTACTGACTAGAGCACAGACTCTGGGGTCACATTGCTTGGGATTCAGCCTGGGCTCCACCACTTACTAGCTGGGCAGTCTTAGACAAATGTCTTTATATATATATATATATATATATATATATATATATATATATATATATAATTGATTTTTTTACAGAGAGGAAGTGAGAGGCATAGAGAGTTAGAAACATTGATGAGAATCATTGATCAGCTGCCTCTTGCACACCCCCCACTGTGGATGTGCCCACAACCAAGGTACATGCCCTTGACCGGAATCAAACCAGGGACCTTTCAGTCCGCAGGCTGACTCTCTATCCACTGAGCCTAACCGGTTTTGGCTTT